CACGGACTCTCTGAATGTCATCCTAGCCTGAAACTACGAATTTCAAACCACTACAGCATACTATATATAGAAACATGCTAGAGGCAGTACCGTCATTCTCTGCACCGTAAACCGCATTTCCTGTCTCCTATACTGTCTACACCATGTTGAAAATGTGCGATGCTTTCAGTATGGAAGGTTGTTTGAAGCAGCTTAGAGGAGCTGTCAAAGGAACTTTCCATCGAGGAGCTTTGATATTTGCGGAGCAGTGCGTCAAATCAGAGAGCAAGTGCGTCTAGCGCTCGGAAATCTGGCTGAAGCCTGCCCCGCCCGCCCTGCGACGGCGCATGATGAGCACCACTCCCAGCACGATCAGCACCACCACGAACAAGCAGCCGATCACTATGGCTGCTATCGCTGCACCCGAGAGGCCTGGTTGGGGGAGGAGGGGCAGGGAAAGGACGACAACAAGAGAGAGGAAAATGAGCTCATGTTTGATAGCATGTAGACAGGCGACCAGTATCGCAGCACCTGAGAGGCCTGGCGGGGCGAGGGGAGAAGGGTATGATTGGGGGGTTGCTGGTGAAACTTAGTTTCTAAGGAAACAGCAAAAGGGAAGACTAAGCCAATCACAATCCACTATCGGCACGGTAGAGAGGCATATGTATGGGAATAGAAAGGGGGCCACAGGTATGGAAGAGAAAGGGTGTGGATGGGTGATAAGGGGTGGACTAGAGTGGAGAGGGGATCAGAAAGAGTGAGGGCCACATGAACGAGCGTACGTGGTCCTCTTTCTGTTACCCTCTCCACTCCACTGCAGCCAGTTGAGGGAGCTTGGGTTGAGTGGGACTTGCACATGCCTTCGATTGCACAGCTTCGTTCAGCTTGTATTGTTGAGTTGCTTGTATTCTTGTTTTGTTTTGTTGGTTTGTTTTTTTTTTTTTTCACCCAGCCTCTCACAAGAATACCCATACACGCTTGCTTCCATCATGCGCATTCTCTTACCTGAGCTCTCCGTGCTCGTCTGCGGCACCACTTCAAACAGCTCCACACCGCTTATCACCGCCGGCAGCCGACTCCCGCCGACCGTCCTCACGCCCACCTCCAGATCCTCCCCGTAGTTGGACGAATACTGCGAGTAGTTGAAAAACACCGGCACCACCAGCGCCGTTAACGGAGCCACCTTAGCGCGGATGTCGAAGCCGCCCGCCTGGTTACCAATGGACTTGACGATGTTCCCGCTGCCCAGCAGAATCTCAAACACGCGATCGCCGGGCTGCGCGGAGGGATCGAGCTCGACGAAATAGAATCGGATATACCACATGTTGGAACGGTCGACAGGCAGCACCGTCATGCGAAACCCCGTCGCCTGCGACAGTTGCGACGGTCGCCCGGCGACGCCGCTCGAGTTCGACAGAGGCGTCAGGGCAGCCCGGGCAGTTTCGAACACCGCTGGGGGGAGGAAGTCAGGCGCGACTCCGGTACCTGCGATCGGTGCCGTGGCTGAGTCTTTGGTCAGGACGGTGAAGTTGCCTTGCTCCGGCCGAACGTCCTCCATCCAGGTTCGGAAGCCGGGGTCTGCAGGTTCGGGCCCAACCTTGCCGCCGCCCATGTTCAACCGAACGTACGTGGAAAGAATGACCTTGTTGCCGAGCGTCGCGGCGTCGTACGCGTCAGTGTCCTGGGGGAGGACCTCTAACGAGTTCACTATAGCGGGGCCGGGCGACCCGGGCTGCGCCTGGAAGCACACGGAGAGCTTCCCGTTGAGGGCGTACGCGATGTAGTCGGAGTAGTAAGCGCCGCTAACGAAGTTGGACTGTACGACGGTCATGTCGACGCTCTCGACTACAGTGTTCTGCACGAGCACGCTAAAATACGGCGGCATGTTGCGATCGTCGTAGTTGTAATACGCGAAGCTCACACGCACGAGATAGCGGCCCTCAACAACGGGGATATTGTAGCAACCGGTTGTGCCGACGGGGAACGCCCGCAGCGTCGACTCTACGGTGTTGAGCGAAAAGGAGTTGGCGGATGCGATGGTGTGCGACTCGCCGCCGTTGGAGTATTTGTCGCCCTGCCATTCCAAGCCGTTGGCCGACGTGGGGCTGTCAGAGCCACAGTCGATGCGCAGCGGCGCTGCGGGTGAGGGGAGAGACGCGGAGAGGGCACGGGAGGGGAGGGGAAGTTGGGTGAATGTAGGAAAAGGCAGAGGAGGGCAGGGGAAGGCAAGAAAAAGAAGGGAAGGGTAGGAGAAGCCAGAGGAAAAATAAAAGGAGTAACGCGGAATCGGCCGGCGACAAAGGTTGAGACAAAATGCGGCATGAGGTGCGAAGGACCGACGTGCTACATGTGAGCCAGTATGGAGACGATAGACAGAGAGAAGAGAAAGAAAGAGAGGCCAGGAGAATGGCTCGAGTGAGAGGTAAGATTGGCACGATGCTCAAGAGTCGATGCGCTGTAGCAGAACTTAGTTGGGTTCATTGTAGCTTACTGTGAGCTGGAAGTGACCAGACAAGTCAAAATGGATGGCACTCGGAGTGACAGCGTTACCGGACTTATCTATTTACCCAGACGGGCGAGTAAGACTTTTGAGTCGATTTCAACACACGACAAGTATACACCCGTACCGAAGAACTTATTGTGAGCCACGGTACCTTGAGTGCTTCTGTAAGCTGCTGCAATCGTCGCCACGGATAGGATTCCCAGCACAACGCTCAGAAGCCGCGGCCGGGTCATTCTGTTGCTCGACTCTCCACAGCTGGTCACAGTAACCCGAATAACAAGCTCTCGATACTTTAGCACGACGACGAGTACGCGATCTGGACTGAAATGACCTCGCTGGGTCGAGAGAGCTTAGCAAGGAGTATGCTGGACCAAGTTCGATCAAGCTCAGCAGGTGTCCAGGGCTTGCCTAATCTGCTCGTCTCCGAGACGAGTTCCGAAGAAACGTTTCGAAACCAATGCCGGAAACAAGGCGAGGAATTTTATTCAACTAGCAAGCTGTGTGATTCCCAAGGCTGATAGATACTCCCCATCACTCACACGTCACTCTGGTTGCTTTCACGAATATTCAAGTCCAAGCCTCGAGAACGCCAAAGCCCGATGAAGCTGTGAGGGCCTGTTTAGAAAGAATAGGATGCTCCGAATCCAGTTGGTGCCTGAATAAGATCGAAGTTGCACAAGCCAATGACTCTGGTTTCGATGGCCTCCCAGCAACTTCGGCAATTTTGAATACGCCTTCGCAAAACCTTCTGTTTGAAGGTCGAAATCCAGCGAACGACCGCTGCGACTGTTCTTGGGAGCATCAGTCTCGGTTCTGACAGGTAAGCGAATTGAACCAGCATGCGATGCATTCTCCCGCCACATTGCGACCGCGTCGCCCAAGCCAGGCGTCAGCGTCGCCGTCAGTCAGCAGGATGGCCGTCGGTGCTGCGAGATTCAACGCAGATTCGTCCCGCTGCGAAGCGCTTCGCGACGCGAAACTCCCACATCGAAAGTGTCGGGTTCCCTGACGTTTTACGACGACAGCTAAACCGCTACAGGTCTGTTGTGGTGCCAGCAAGAGAAAAAACACTTCCTAAAATGCCTAGACTCTTATCGTATATATTTAGCAAATTGGCATCATTCAGACATCAACAAGCAAAAACTGAATCAGGAATTCACAATATGTTCCCCCATCCATCAGTTCCAGGGCCATGTTGATGCATTTCGCCATTTAAACGGGCACTGGAGTGAAGATCCTGATGCACCGTGGCCAGCTGCCCCGTTCATTGCAGGACACATGTCTGTTTCCGGCTTGCCAATATAAGCAACTTTTGAGAGACGTTTAAGTGCCGATTCGGCATAGGCAGGTCCCTCCGTGTACTTGGGGTGCACAAATAAAGGCACTCCTTTCCACCACAGGAGAAAGGCCTGTTCCGGGGAGGGTTAGGGGAGAGGAAGAATGAGTGAGGGAGGGAGGGGTGAGAGAGGGAGGGGCGAGCGAGGGAGAGGCGCGCAACCAAAGAAAGATGAGAATAAGGCATGTGGGTCAGCCTCGTCTGGACCGAACGCAGCAAGACACAGCAAGCTTGAGCACAAGCAAAATGGAGGACGATGATGGCAGGGAATGAGTGAGGCAAGGAGGCGAGGCTGGATATGGGATGAGGCTGGATATGAGGTGAGGCTGGATATGAGGTGAGGCTGGATATGAGGTGAGGCTGGATATGAGGTGAGGCTGGATATGAGGTGAGGCTGGATATGGGGTGAGGCTGGATATGAGGTGAGGCTGGATATGAGGTGAGGCTGGATATGAGGTGAGGCTGGATATGAGGTGAGGCTGGATATGGGGTGAGGCTGGATATGAGGTGAGGCTGGATAAGAGGTGAGGCTGGATATGAGGTGAGGCTGGATATGGGGTGAGGCTGGATATGAGGTGAGGCTGGATATGAGGTGAGGCTGGATATGAGGTGAGGCTGGATATGAGGTGAGGCTGGATATGAGGTGAGGCTGGATATGGGGTGAGGCTGGATATGAGGTGAGGCTGGATATGAGGTGAGGCTGGATATGAGGTGAGGCTGGATATGTGGTGAGGCTGGATATGTGGTGAGGCTGGATATGAGGTGAGGCTGGATAAGTGGTGAGGCTGGATATGAGGTGAGGTGTGAGGGGGATGTGGGAGGTGCGGGAGAAGGCTCGGGGGGACTGGGGGGTGGGGGGTGACGATGAAGTAGGTCAGATCATGGGCATGCTGTGCAATGAAGTAGGTCAGATCATGGGCATGCTGTGCATTGTCCTGAGTTGACATGGCGCACATTGAAACATGTCACCATGCCCATGCATTGCATTGCATTGCACTGCACTGCGCTAAACGGCGTGGCATTCCTCCACACGATTGCAACGGGCGTCAAGCACAGGAGCGTCCCCCCCCCTCACTTCCGCCCCCCTCCCTCCCCCTCTGGCACACACACCCGCCTGCCAAGAAATTCAGAAGGCCACAACGCTGTGGATCCGGCGTGCAGCACAGCCAGCAGCAACCCCTCATGAGCCAGCAGCAACCCCTCATGAGCCAGCAGCAACCCCTCATAAGCCAGCAGCAACCCCTCATGAGCCAGCAGCAACCTCTCATGAGCCAGCAGCAACCCCTCATGAGCCAGCAGCAACCTCTCATGAGCCAGCAGCAACCCCTCATGAGCCAGCAGCAACCCCTCATGAGCCAGCAGCAACCCCTCATGAGCCAGCAGCAACCCCTCATGAGCCAGCAGCAACCTCTCATGAGCCAGCAGCAACCCCTCATGAGCCAGCAGCAACCCCTCATGAGCCAGCAGCAACCCCTCATGAGCCAGCAGCAACCCCTCATGAGCCAGCAGCAACCCCTCATGAGCCAGCAGCAACCTCTCATGAGCCAGCAGCAACCCCTCATGAGCCAGCAGCAACCCCTCATGAGCCAGCAGCAACCCCTCATGAGCCAGCAGCAACCCCTCATGAGCCAGCAGCAACCCCTCATGAGCCAGCAGCAACCCCTCATGAGCCAGCAGCAACCCCTCATGAGCCAGCAGCAACCCCTCATGAGCCAGCAGCAACCCCTCATGAGCCAGCAGCAACCCCTCATGAGCCAGCAGCAACCCCTCATGAGCCAGCAGCAACCCCTCATGAGCCAGCAGCAACCCCTCATGAGCCAGCAGCAACCCCTCATGAGCCAGCAGCAACCCCTCATGAGCCAGCAGCAACCTCTCATGACCCAGCAGCAACCCCTCATGACCCAGCAGCAACCCCTCATGAGCCAGCAGCAACCCCTCATGAGCCAGCAGCAACCTCTCATGAGCCAGCAGCAACCCCTCATGAGCCAGCAGCAACCCCTCATGAGCCAGCAGCAACCTCTCATGAGCCAGCAGCAACCCCTCATGAGCCAGCAGCAACCTCTCATGAGCCAGCAGCAACCCCTCATGAGCCAGCAGCAACCCCTCATGAGCCAGCAGCAACCCCTCATGAGCCAGCAGCAACCCCTCATGAGCCAGCAGCAACCCCTCATGAGCCAGCAGCAACCCCTCATGAGCCAGCAGCAACCCCTCATGAGCCAGCAGCAACCCCTCATGAGCCAGCAGCAACCCCTCATGAGCCAGCAGCAACCCCTCATGAGCCAGCAGCAACCCCTCATGAGCCAGCAGCAACCCCTCATGAGCCAGCAGCAACCCCTCATGAGCCAGCAGCAACCCCTCATGAGCCAGCAGCAACCCCTCATGAGCCAGCAGCAACCTCTCATGAGCCAGCAGCAACCCCTCATGAGCCAGCAGCAACCTCTCATGAGCCAGCAGCAACCCCTCATGAGCCAGCAGCAACCTCTCATGAGCCAGCAGCAACCCCTCATGAGCCAGCAGCAACCCCTCATGAGCCAGCAGCAACCCCTCATGAGCCAGCAGCAACCCCTCATGAGCCAGCAGCAACCCCCTCATGAGCCAGCAGCAACCCCTCATGAGCCAGCAGCAACCCCTCATGAGCCAGCAGCAACCCCTCATGAGCCGGCAGCAACCCCTCATGAGCCAGCAGCAACCCCTCATGAGCCAGCAGCAACCCCTCATGAGCCAGCAGCAGCCCCTCATGAGCCAGCAGCAACCCCTCATGAGCCAGCAGCAACCCCTCATGAGCCAGCAGCAACCCCTCATGAGCCAGCAGCAACCCCTCATGAGCCAGCAGCAACCCCTCATGAGCCAGCAGCAACCCCTCATGAGCCAGCAGCAACCCCTCATGAGCCAGCAGCAACCTCTCATGAGCCAGCAGCAACCCCTCATGAGCCAGCAGCAACCTCTCATGAGCCAGCAGCAACCCCTCATGAGCCAGCAGCAACCTCTCATGAGCCAGCAGCAACCCCTCATGAGCCAGCAGCAACCCCTCATGAGCCAGCAGCAACCCCTCATGAGCCAGCAGCAACCCCTCATGAGCCAGCAGCAACCCCTCATGAGCCAGCAGCAACCCCTCATGAGCCAGCAGCAACCCCTCATGAGCCAGCAGCAACCCCTCATGAGCCGGCAGCAACCCCTCATGAGCCAGCAGCAACCCCTCATGAGCCAGCAGCAACCCCTCATGAGCCAGCAGCAGCCCCTCATGAGCCAGCAGCAACCCCTCATGAGCCAGCAGCAACCCCTCATGAGCCAGCAGCAACCCCTCATGAGCCAGCAGCAACCCCTCATGAGCCAGCAGCAACCCCTCATGAGCCAGCAGCAACCCCTCATGAGCCAGCAGCAGCCCGTCATGAGCCAGCAGCAACCCCTCATGAGCCAGCAGCAACCCCTCATGAGCCAGCAGCAACCCCTCATGAGCCAGCAGCAACCCCTCATGAGCCAGCAGCAACCCCTCATGAGCCAGCAGCAACCCCTCATGAGCCAGCAGCAACCCCTCATGAGCCAGCAGCAACCCCTCATGAGCCAGCAGCAAACCCTCATGAGCCAGCAGCAACCCCTCATGAGCCAGCAGCAACCCCTCATGAGCCCCCCCTCTTTACAATGTGTCCCCTCTTCCCTTCCCCTCCATTCCCACTCCCTTCCCGCACCTGCCAGTAGATCCAAAACGCCACGCGGTGGGGCATGCAGCACAGCCACCAGCGGCACCGCACCTCCCTGCTCCACTCCGATAAGAGCCGGTGGAACGAGAGTGAGAGGGTGGAGGATGGCGGGTGTGTGTGAGATTGGGAGGGAGTGAGAGGGCGTGGCAGGGTGGTGAGGGTGGGAAGAGTGGGGGGTAGCAGGTACGGCTGCTGGGATGCAGGCAGGCAGTCAATGTCAAGACATGCCACGAATATGCTGCTGCCCATACTGATGCCGCCACTGCTGCCCATGCTGTTGCCGCCACTGCTGCCACTGATGCTGCTGCTGCCGCCAGGGCGATTTGCAGTAGTGCTGCCGCCAGGGCAATTCGCAGCAGTGCTGCTGCCGTTGCCATTGCTTGCCGCTGCGTCCGCCCCACTCTCCACACCCACTGTCCCTGCGTCCTTCCCTTTCCCCTCCTTGTCTGCTTCCTTCCCTTTCCCCTCCTTGTCTGCTTCCTTCCCTTTCCCCTCCTTGTCTGCTTCCTTCCCTTTCCCCTCCTTGTCTGCTTCCTTCCCTTTCCCCTCCTTGTCTGCTTCCTTCCCTTTCCCCTCCTTGTCTGCTTCCTTCCCTTTCCCCTCCTTGTCTGCTTCCTTCCCTTTCCCCTCCTTGTCTGCTTCCTTCCCTTTCCCCTCCTTGTCTGCCTCCTGCCCTGCTGCAGTCTCTTTGCTGCCCAGCACAGGGTGCAGAGCGGTGATGTGCAGTGAGATGCGGTGGGAGGGGGGCAGTGCGCGCATCACCCATGTGGATTGCATGTCCTGGCAGGTGGGGAAGGGTGGAGGGCGGTGGGTGGGGATGGGAAGGGGATGGCAGGAGGGGAGAGGCATGGGCATGGGAAGGCGCAAGGGGATGAGGGGGGTGCGGGGATGGGAGGGGTACTGTTCGCAAGAGGATTTAAAGGGTACTGGGACGGGAGGGGCATGCGTATCGGGATGGAAGGAGGAGGGGCGTGGGGATGGGGGAACCGTGGGGATGGGGGAACCGTGGGGATGGGAGAACCGTGGGGATGGGAGAACCGTGGGGATGGGAGGGGATGAGAGGGGCATAAGAGAACATGCACGCGTCACCCCTGTGGAATGCCTTGGAGCACACGGTGGAGCAAAGCACACACGGTGGAGCAACGCACACACGGTGGAGCAAAGCACACACGGTGGAGCAACGCACACACGGTGGAGCAAAGCACACACGGTGGAGCAAAGCACACACGGTGGAGCAACGCACACACGGTGGAGCAACGCACACACGGTGGAGCAACGCACACACGGTGGAGCAACGCACACACGGTGGAGCAAAGCACACACGGTGGAGCAACGCACACACGGTGGAGCAAAGCACACACGGTGGAGCAAAGCACACACGGTGGAGCAACGCACACACGGTGGAGCAACGCACACACGGTGGAGCAACGCACACACGGTGGAGCAACGCACACACGGTGGAGCAAAGCACACACGGTGGAGCAACGCACACACGGTGGAGCAAAGCACACACGGTGGAGCAACGCACACACGGTGGAGCAACGCACACACGGTGGAGCAACGCACACACGGTGGAGCAACGCACACACGGTGGAGCAACGCACACACGGTGGAGCAAAGCACACACGGTGGAGCAACGCACACACGGTGGAGCAACGCACACACGGTGGAGCAACGCACACACGGTGGAGCAACGCACACACGGTGGAGCAACGCACACACGGTGGAGCAAGGCACACACGGTGGAGCAACGCACACACGGTGGAGCAACGCACACACGGTGGAGCAAAGCACACACGGTGGAGCAAAGCACACACGGTGGAGCAACGCACACACGGTGGAGCAACGCACACACGGTGGAGCAACGCACACACGGTGGAGCAAAGCACACACGGTGGAGCAACGCACACACGGTGGAGCAAAGCACACACGGTGGAGCAAAGCACACACGGTGGAGCAACGCACACACGGTGGAGCAACGCACACACGGTGGAGCAACGCACACACGGTGGAGCAACGCACACACGGTGGAGCAAAGCACACACGGTGGAGCAACGCACACACGGTGGAGCAACGCACACACGGTGGAGCAAAGCACACACGGTGGAGCAACGCACACACGGTGGAGCAACGCACACACGGTGGAGCAACGCACACACGGTGGAGTGGAGCAACGCACACACGGTGGAGCAACGCACACACGGTGGAGCAACGCACACACGGTGGAGCAAAGCACACACGGTGGAGCAACGCACACACGGTGGAGCAACGCACACACGGTGGAGCAACGCACACACGGTGGAGGGCAGGGCATGGCACGGCGCAAACAGCCGGCCGGTGAAGAGAAGCAGCATTGAAGGTGGAAACGTGCATAGTCCTCAAAAGAAGAGAGAGATGGGCGAAACGGCAGCCGGGCACACACAGAAATGGCAACCGGGCACACACAGAAATGAGATCCGCCAAAGTGCAGCGCCAACGGCATCAGGTGTTGACATCAGGGAGGGGCGGAGACAGTGAGACTAGTAGCGAGGGAGGTAAGTCAATGGAATGAACCATGAAGGGCGAGACGTGCAGGGGCTTGGGCGCGTGGCCTAGCAGACGTGAGTTTAAAGCCTCACTTGAAAGCTCAGAAGAGGAATTTGGGGAGAAAGAGAGGAAACGAACCATGAAGGGCGAGACGTGCAGGGGCTTGGGCACGTGGTCTAGCAGCGGGGCGAAGAGGAAGGTGACTCGGTCGGTCCATGGGGTGTTGGACACCTGTGTGGCGGGGGTTGGGGGGTGGGGGGTGGGGGGAACAAGGGGGCGAAGGACCATGTAGGGTTGGGGATGAGAGCAAAGGACCATGTAGGGTTGGGGATGAGAGCAAAGGACCATGTAGGGTTGGGGATGAGAGCAAAGGACCATGTAGGGTTGGGGATGAGAGCAAAGGACCATGTAGGGTTGGGGATGAGAGCAAAGGACCATGTAGGGTTGGGGATGAGAGCAAAGGGCCATGTAGGGTTGGGGATGAGAGCAAAGGACCATGTAGGGTTGGGGATGAGAGCAAAGGACCATGTAGGGTTGGGGATGAGAGCAAAGGACCATGTAGGGTTGGGGATGAGAGCAAAGGACCATGTAGGGTTGGGGATGAGAGCAAAGGACCATGTAGGGTTGGGGATGAGAGCAAAGGACCATGTAGGGTTGGGGATGAGAGCAAAGGACCATGTAGGGTTGGGGATGAGAGCAAAGGACCATGTAGGGTTGGGGATGAGAGCAAAGGACCATGTAGGGTTGGGGATGAGAGCAAAGGACCATGTAGGGTTGGGGATGAGAGCAAAGGACCATGTAGGGTTGGGGATGAGAGCAAAGGACCATGTAGGGTTGGGGATGAGAGCAAAGGGCCATGTAGGGTTGGGGATGAGAGCAAAGGGCCATGTAGGGTTGGGGATGAGAGCAAAGGACCATGTAGGGTTGGGGATGAGAGCAAAGGACCATGTAGGGTTGGGGATGAGAGCAAAGGACCATGTAGGGTTGGGGATGAGAGCAAAGGACCATGTAGGGTTGGGGATGAGAGCAAAGGGCCATGTAGGGTTGGGGATGAGAGCAAAGGGCCATGTAGGGTTGGGGATGAGAGCAAAGGACCATGTAGGGTTGGGGATGAGAGCAAAGGGCCATGTAGGGTTGGGGATGAGAGCAAAGGACCATGTAGGGTTGGGGATGAGAGCAAAGGGCCATGTAGGGTTGGGGATGAGAGCAAAGGGCCATGTAGGGTTGGGGATGAGAGCAAAGGGCCATGTAGGGTTGGGGATGAGAGCAAAGGGCCATGTAGGGTTGGGGATGAGAGCAAAGGGCCATGTAGGGTTGGGGATGAGAGCAAAGGACCATGTAGGGTTGGGGATGAGAGCAAAGGACCATGTAGGGTTGGGGATGAGAGCAAAGGACCATGTAGGGTTGGGGATGAGAGCAAAGGACCATGTAGGGTTGGGGATGAGAGCAAAGGGCCATGTAGGGTTGGGGATGAGAGCAAAGGGCCATGTAGGGTTGGGGATGAGAGCAAAGGACCATGTAGGGTTGGGGATGAGAGCAAAGGGCCATGTAGGGTTGGGGATGAGAGCAAAGGACCATGTAGGGTTGGGGATGAGAGCAAAGGGCCATGTAGGGTTGGGGATGAGAGCAAAGGGCCATGTAGGGTTGGGGATGAGAGCAAAGGGCCATGTAGGGTTGGGGATGAGAGCAAAGGGCCATGTAGGGTTGGGGATGAGAGCAAAGGGCCATGTAGGGTTGGGGATGAGAGCAAAGGGCCATGTAGGGTTGGGGATGAGAGCAAAGGGCCATGTAGGGTTGGGGATGAGAGCAAAGGGCCATGTAGGGTTGGGGATGAGAGCAAAGGGCCATGTAGGGTTGGGGATGAGAGCAAAGGGCCATGTAGGGTTGGGGATGAGAGCAAAGGGCCATGTAGGGTTGGGGATGAGAGCAAAGGGCCATGTAGGGTTGGGGATGAGAGCAAAGGGCCATGTAGGGTTGGGGATGAGAGCAAAGGGCCATGTAGGGTTGGGGATGAGAGCAAAGGGCCATGTAGGGTTGGGGATGAGAGCAAAGGGCCATGTAGGGTTGGGGATGAGAGCAAAGGGCCATGTAGGGTTGGGGATGAGAGCAAAGGGCCATGTAGGGTTGGGGATGAGAGCAAAGGGCCATGTAGGGTTGGGGATGAGAGCAAAGGGCCATGTAGGGTTGGGGATGAGAGCAAAGGGCCATGTAGGGTTGGGGATGAGAGCAAAGGGCCATGTAGGGTTGGGGATGAGAGCAAAGGGCCATGTAGGGTTGGGGATGAGAGCAAAGGGCCATGTAGGGTTGGGGATGAGAGCAAAGGGCCATGTAGGGTTGGGGATGAGAGCAAAGGGCCATGTAGGGTTGGGGATGAGAGCAAAGGGCCATGTAGGGTTGGGGATGAGAGCAAAGGGCCATGTAGGGTTGGGGATGAGAGCAAAGGGCCATGTAGGGTTGGGGATGAGAGCAAAGGGCCATGTAGGGTTGGGGATGAGAGCAAAGGGCCATGTAGGGTTGGGGATGAGAGCAAAGGGCCATGTGGGGTTGGGGATGAGAGCAAAGGGCCATGTAGGGTTGGGGATGAGAGCAAAGGGCCATGTAGGGTTGGGGATGAGAGCAAAGGGCCATGTAGGGTTGGGGATGAGAGCAGAGGGCCATGCAGGGTTGGGGATGAGAGCAAAGGGCCATGCAGGGTTGGGGATGAGAGCAAAGGGCCATGCAGGGTTGGGGATGAGAGCAAAGGGCCATGTAGGGTTGGGGATGAGAGCAAAGGGCCATGTAGGGTTGGGGATGAGAGCAAAGGGCCATGTAGGGTTGGGGATGAGAGCAAAGGGCCATGTAGGGTTGGGGATGAGAGCAAAGGGCCATGTAGGGTTGGGGATGAGAGCAAAGGGCCATGTAGGGTTGGGGATGAGAGCAAAGGGCCATGTAGGGTTGGGGATGAGAGCAAAGGGCCATGTAGGGTTGGGGATGAGAGCAAAGGGCCATGTAGGGTTGGGGATGAGAGCAAAGGGCCATGTAGGGTTGGGGATGAGAGCAAAGGGCCATGTAGGGTTGGGGATGAGAGCAAAGGGCCATGTAGGGTTGGGGATGAGAGCAAAGGGCCATGTAGGGTTGGGGATGAGAGCAAAGGGCCATGTAGGGTTGGGGATGAGAGCAAAGGGCCATGTAGGGTTGGGGATGAGAGCAAAGGGCCATGTAGGGTTGGGGATGAGAGCAAAGGGCCATGTAGGGTTGGGGATGAGAGCAAAGGGCCATGTAGGGTTGGGGATGAGAGCAAAGGGCCATGTAGGGTTGGGGATGAGAGCAAAGGGCCATGTAGGGTTGGGGATGAGAGCAGGGGATGGTGGTGAGGCAAGGCAACAAGGATGGTGGTGAGGCATCGAGGATGGTGGTGAGGCAAGGCAACGAGGATGGTGACTCGGTCGGTCCAAGGGGAGTTGGTCACCTGGGGTAGTGGTGGTGGAGATGTGATGGGGCGGAAGGGAAATGAAAAGGCAAAAGAAACGAAGGCGAGGGGAAAACGAGAGGAGGAATCGAGAAATGGGATGGACAGAGGGGTGAGGAGGCAGGCGACTCGGTCAGTCCAGGAGGTGTTGGGCTGGAATAGTGACGGCTGGAGTGAGGGAGGGAGGAAAGGATTGGATCGGGGAGCACATATGAAATGGAAGGGATGGTGAGGTGATGAAGAAGGCGGAGGTGACTCGGACGTTTAGAGGGGTGGTTGGTTACCTGGGGTGGTGGGGGTTGGGGGCTCAGCGAAATGGGAGGGCAGGGAGGGAGGGAGGATAGGGGAAGAAGCCAGGCAAAAGCAAAAGGTACCTCTAGATGGAGAATTAATGGATGTACACATTGATGGATGTACCTCTACTCTACAAAATTCAGATTGAGAAATGGAGGGCAAACGCTTAGATGCGCACATTGGAAAAAAAAAACGGGAAATTGCGCTTTACCACACACACCTCACCTCGCCTCACTGCACCACACTGCAGCACACTGCACCTCACCTCGCCAATGCAAACTGCCAGGGACTCAGCAGGGGGCAAAAGCGCCTCCTCACACTGTCCCCCCTCGCTCTTGCTGCTGCTGCCACTGTTGGCAACAGTGGCAGTGGCAGTGCTGCTGCTGCAGGCACGGTAGCAGTAGTAGACGCTGATGGGGTTCTGCTCGTATCCCATGCTCGTTGGGTTGGTCAACAGAAAGCTGAGCGCAGGGGAATACAGGAGCACGACGGGGGAGGATTGACAAACGGGGACACGGGACGGGAGGGGAGGGTTGAGGGCGTGTGAGCAAGTAGCAGTTGTAGACGTGATGGGGTCCTGTTCTGCTCATCATACCCCATGCTCGTTGGGTTGGAGAGTAGGAAGCTGAGAGCAGGGGGGTGGAGAAGGAGGTGTGGAGCGGAAGATGGGGATTGCTGTGATGTGAGAGGGTAGTTTGTTACTCGATAGCAGTGGCATGCACTGAACGCGTCCTGACAATAGTTTTCGCTTTAACTGGATTGGAACTCCATGCTCGTAGGGTTGGAGAGTAGGAAGCTGTTGAAATGGTGACACACACACAGGGGGTTAACGGGATAAGGTGTGGAGAAGGGGGAATGCTGTGAGAGGGTTGTTACTCAGCAGTAGCAGTAGCAGTAGCAGTAGCAGTAGCAGTAGCAGTAGCAGTAGCAGTAGCAGTAGCAGTAGCAGTAGCAGCAGCAGTAGCAGTAGCAGTAGCAGTAGCAGTAGCAGTAGCAGTAGCAGTAGCAGTAGCAGTAGCAGTAGCAGTAGCAGTAGCAGTAGCAGTAGCAGTAGCAGTAGCAGTAGCAGTAGCAGTAGCAGTAGCAGTAGCAGTAGCAGTAGCAGTAGCAGTAGCAGTAGCAGAAGCAGAAGCAGTAGCAGTAGCAGTAGCAGTAGCAGTAGCAGTAGCAGTAGCAGTAGCAGTAGCAGTAGCAGTAGCAGTAGCAGTAGCAGTAGCAGTAGCAGTAGCAGTAGCAGTAGCAGTAGCAGTAGCAGTAGCAGTAGCAGTAGCAGTAGCAGTAGCAGTAGCAGTAGCAGTAGCAGTAGCAGTAGCAGTAGCAGTAGTAGACGCTGATGGGGTTCTGCTCAAACCCCATGCTCGTTGGGTTGGTCAACAGGACGCTGAGAGCAGGGGGGTGCAGGAACATGGGGGACGTGTGACAGAAGGGGACGTGTGACAGAAGGGGACGTGTGACAGAAGGGGACGTGTGACAGAAGGGGACGTGTGACATAAGGGGACGCTGGGGACGTTTGGAACAGGGAGGCTTTCTGGTGAAGGGGGAAATAAAAAAAGGGGGGCACGGACTTGGGCGGTACATTCCTGTTTGTATATTATTTCCAACTTAAACGGGCCATCAGTCCCCAGCGAACAAGCAAGCCTTGTCAGTGACACGTGTTGACACGTGCTGCCTCGCTGGCGACTGCTGGGCCCCTTCTGGCCTCGCGTCCTCGGCCACGCGGGGAAGTGAAGTGCCTGCCCACTCCAACTCCACCTGTGGAAGCGTCCTGACTGACAGGTCAAGTGTCTTGACTGACAGGTCTACTGTCCAGTGCAGTGCAGTGCAACTGACATGTATTGGTTCCCCTCCATTTCACAGTAGTGAAAGCCCCGTCGTCGAATCCATACAGTTCCATCAGCCCCGGCCATATGAGCGAGCGTCGACGAGGCGAGGGGTGCACAGTGCAACCAACACATATCAATCTCACCCCTTCTTACCCCATGGTATGCCATGCCACCCATAGACCCACTCACATGGGTCCGTCGGTCTCAGCAAGAACGAGCATCAGCAACCCAGCGCTACCCCACTGAGATGGCTTTTGAGCAACCCTAACTCAAAAGTTAGAGTCACCCCACTGTCCACCTCTCGCATCTTCAACTCACATGGGCCCATCTGTCCCGGCGAACGAGCGCGCCTCGTCGGCCGACATGTGGTGCTGCGCGGACGACCGCACGAACCAATCAGGAGGCGCGTCGAGGTTCACCAGCGCGTAGCGCACCGCGTAGTTAAAGCCGTGGCGCGTCGGGTGGCTCCTATGATGTGCCACGTGTCCGCCGTACAGCAACAGCGGCGGATACTGCTGGCCAATGGCATTGCGTTTTTTTAGCTCCTCGTTGCAACCGCCTACGCCTCCGCCGCCGGCGGCGGTGGGAGATGGAGAAACCGCGGCATCTGCGCTAAGGAGAGGCTCGTGCGGTGATCCGTTACAAGCGTCTGAAGGCGACGCGGCGTTTGCGTTTGCCACGTGGAAGAGGGAAGAGAGCGGGGAGATGCAGAGCGACGCGGCGGACGCGGCGATTGATGCCACGTGGAGGAGGAATGCGGAGAGGAGGAGGTGAAGCGCGCCGATCAGCGCGCGCGCGGCGATGGAGAATGCGGAGAGCAGCAGCGCGGCGGCTTGCGCCGACAAGGGCGCGTGCGCTGCCGCCGACACGGGCGGCTGCGCCGCCGATATACGCGCATGAGCCGCCAGCAAGGGTGCGTGCGCCATGAGCGGAGGAATGGGACGACGTGGATGGGATGGGCTAATCAAAACAACGACGACGACGATTGTATGTTTCGCCTCATGCACGCGAGGAGAGGCGCAGCGGCTCCGCGACTAGCGGCGGTAAACTAGGTGGCTTCCGCAATGGAATGACAGTCGGAAACGCGTGAGTGGTGGTTGGGAAGGGGAAGGGGGAGTGAAACAGCCACTTCGCTGTTTTGACACAGTAGTAGTACTGGGAAGTACTCTTAGGCCGTGTTACACTTTTCAAAATCACTGAAAGTCCGGACGGTGGTCCGAACGCGTGCGAAGATTGCGACGTCGCGCGGTCGCGTGGTGACCAATATGATGTCGTAAGTAAGCAAAACGAAGCATGCGACGTCAATTAGACCCTGACGAAATCCCTGCTGATACTCAACGATTTTTGTAACCACACAGTCATTCGGACGGTAGCCCATCCGGACGAAAATTTTAAATAATGTAACACGCCCTTACAATAATTTCAGAAAGATAGCAGCAAGATAGCTTTACAAGGGATCATATGATGGCTTACATTTCAGAGATACATCTTATTATACAAGGATACTAGCTATGGCGCCTTTCACATTCCTAGAGCTAAGAACAGCAAGGCATAGTCATTATGATTATGTACAAGACATCCTATGTTAGAATCTAGAAGCAGGAACGAATGGATTGAATGAGAAGGGGTTGAACCCCATATTGGCTATCCCACTACAGCCTACACAAATATAGCATGCATATAGTTTGACACACCCCCATAAGCAAAGTGGGGGAGAACAAGGGGTCACAAGACTGTCAAACATATATGCTGCTTATTGTGTAGGCTGTAGTGGGGTAGCCCATATGAGGAACCACAACCCAGATTAGGGTTTCCTACTTGTACCCATCATGCTGCTAGTTCATACATTCATGCCTGTAATTTCTGACATGGTATCAGAGCAGTAGGTCCGTAGGACCGTTTTTTTTTTTTTCGGGCCCACCTACCGTTGTGGTTACTGAGCTGCCCCACGTGTTGCCTGCGCTGCGCCGCCCGCGCGCGCCTTGCCGTGCCTGCGCTGCGCTGCCCGCGCGCGTCTTGCCTTGCCTGCGCTGCGCTGCCCGCGCGCGCCTTGCCTTGCCTGCACCTTGCCTTGCCTTGCCTGCGCCGCGCCTTGCCTTGCCTGCGCCTTGCCTGCGCTGCGCCGCCTGCGCGCACGCCCTGCCCTGCCCCGCGTTGCGCTGCCCCGCGCACGCTCTGCTCTGCCTGGCGTCGCGCGCCCCTGCAGCCCGTCGCGTCGCCCGTCTGCCCTGCCTCTGCCCGTCGCGTCGCCCGTACGGGCTGTCCCAGCCCGTCGCGTCGCCCGTCCGCCCTGCCTGCCTGTCGCGTCGCCCGTCCGCCCTGCCTGCCTGTCGCGTCGCCCGTACGGGCTATCGCAGCCCGTCGCGTCGCCCGTACGGGCTGTCCCAGCCCGTCGCGTCGCCCGGACAGGCTGTCCTAGCCCGTCGCGTCGCCCGTACGGGCTGCCTGCCCGTCGCGTCGCCTGTACGGGCTGTCCCAGCCCGTCGCGTCGCCCGTCCGCCTTGCAGCCCGCGCGTCGCGCCTCTGCTGCCCCGCGCGTCGCGCCCTACGGCAGCCCGCGCGCCGCGCTCTGCAGCCCCGCGCGTCGCGCTCTGCTGCAGCCCGCGCGTCGCGCCCTGCTGCCCTGCACGAAGCGCGCCTTTTGCTCGCGCCGCCCAGGCCGAGCCGAGCCGCCCTACCCGACCCGATCCGCCCTCCTGCTCGTGCTACTACTGCTGCTGGTGGAGGTGCTGCTAGGAGTGCTGGAGGTGCTGCAGCCTAGCCTCACCGGGCCGCTCTACTGCTCTTACTGCTGTTGCTGCTGCTCGTGCTGCTGTCTTCCCTCCGTACCGCCCTCCTCCTCACATGCCTCCTTGCTTACCCGCTATGACTTCCCTTCGTAGTAGCGGTGGGAGTGGTGGCGGCGGCGGTGGCGGCAGTGGGAGTGGTGGCGGCGACCATAGTTGCAGTCGCGGTGGAGCTGTTCAGTGCGGAGTTTCTGGCGGTGGCGAGATCCAGCTGCAGCGGCGTCCGAGCGAGACCCTTCCACCCCAGCAGCTTCATGCGTGGTACGCTCAGCGTTGTGCGTCTCGGAGAGGTGGCGGCGGCCGTAGTAGCAGTCGTGGTGGAGCTGGTCAGTGCGGAGTCTCTGGCGGTGGCCAGATGCAGCTGCAGTGGCGCCCGCGCGAGACCCTTACACCCCGTCAGCTGCATGAGTGGTACGCTCAGAGTTGGGGGTGTAGGACTACTGCTCGTTGCACGTACGCTATTCGCACAGGTGATCGAGCTGGTCAGACTTGCGGGACAGTTAGTCACACAGAGTCCCGCTGCTTCTCCCGTCTGAGCGACGCTTGGCGAGCACGGTTTGGCGACGAGACTGAGCTACCCCTCTGGCTAGAATTGCTTCAGGACGGAGTAGATATATTTGCCTTAGACTATGACACTATCCTTACTGCCATGTATGTTTTGACTGGTACTTCTGAGGGTGACTGTTACCTGTGTGTGCCCCCTGACCCTGGTATAGCGGCTGCTGCTCTAGGTGCTAGTGAGTCTGCTCTCTCTGGTACTGCACCTGCTGAGGCCTTGCACACCTTTACACTTGACTCTGGTGCTTCCCGCTGTTTCTTTCGCGACAGTACCACGGTCACACCCCTCCCTGCACCTGTCCCTGTCTCACTGGCTGACCCCTCTGGGGGCCCAGTGCTTGCACGGTCTACCACTGTGCTTCCGTGTCCGGCGGTCCCGTCTGGTGAGCTGTCTGGTCTCCACCTCCCCTCGTTCTCTACGAACTTGGTAAGCACCGCCGTCCTTTAGGATCACTGGGTTGACACCTTTACTCCTGGAGGACAGCGGGTGACACACTGCACGTGCTCTCGGACCGGCCGCCACCTGGCCACGTTCACACGTGCGCCTGGGTCCAGTCTGTACACCCTCACCACTGTGTCGCGTCACGCCACTTTGTCTCCTCAGCTGTACGCGTCCGCTCAGGTAGCTACCCAGTGTGAGTGTCGTCGCCTGTCGCACGACACTCTCCTGTGGCACCACTGCCTTGGTCACCCCTCCCTGCCTCGCCTTCGTGGCATGCACTCTCGCTCCCTAGTCTCTGGTCTTCCCAGGTCTCTGCCTGCCCTCCCTCCCTCGCCTGCGCCGCCCTGCATTCCTTGCATCGAGGGGCGGCAGCGCGCCGCTCCTCACTCCTCCTCGTTCCCTCCCACAGAGGCTCCACTGCAGACTCTCCACCTGGACGTGTGGGGCCCAGCCCGCGTCCAGGGACAGGGCCGCGAGCGGTACTTCCTGCTGGTTGTCGACGACTACACGCGTTACACCACGGTCTTCCCCTTGCAGCGCAAGGCGGATGTCCCTGCTGTCCTGATCCCCTGGATCCGCGCTGTTCGTCTCCAGCTCCGCGAGCGGTTTGAGCGGGACTTTCCTGTCTTGCGTCTGCACTCTGACAGAGGTGGTGAGTTCACCTCCAACCTCTTGCGAGCCTTCTGTGAGGAGCACGGCATCACCCAGTCGTTCACGCTTCCGGCCTCTCCGCAGCAGAATGGGGTTGCTGAGCGCCGCATTGGCTTAGTCATGGAGGTCACTCGTACCTCCATGATCCATGCGGCGGCTCCCCATTTTCTGTGGCCATTTGCGGTCCGGTACGCCGCGCATCAACTCAACCTCTGGCCCCGTGTCTCCTTGCCGGAGACCTCTCCCACACTGCGGTGGACGGGGGAGGTTGGCGATGCGTCGCGTTTCCGGGTCTGGGGTGCTCGTGCCTTTGTCCGCGATCTCACCGCGGACAAGCTCTCTGCCCGCGCCATTCCCTGCGTCTTCCTTGGTTTTCCTCCTGACGCGCCTGGCTGGCAGTTTTACGACCCCGCCTCGCGCCGTGTCTTTGCGTCTCAGGACGTCACTTTTGACGAGTCCGTCCCCTTTTACCGTCTCTTTCCCTACCGCACTGCCCCTTGCCCCCCCCCCGCCGCTCTTTCTCGCTCCAGGTCCTTCCCAGGTAGACGCCCTCCTCGTGCCAGGTCCTGCTCCTTCAGGTGTTTCTCAGGTAGATCCTCCTGTGCTTGCGCTTGTTGAGGTCACTGGTGACTCAGGTCCTACTGGGGGTGGTCCTGCTCGGGGTGCTGTCTCTGGGGGTGCTGAGCCTGGGGGTGCTGAGCCTGGGGGTGCGGAGTCTGGGGGTGCTGTGCCTGAGCGTGAGGAGCCTGGAGGTGCTGAGCCTGGGGGTGCCGAGTCTGAGGGTGCTGAGCCTGCGTGTGAGGGGCCTGAGGGTGCTGAGCCTGGAGGTACTGAGCCTGAGCGTGAGGAGCCTGGGGGTGCTGAGTCTGGGGGTGTGGCGCCTGAGGGTACTGCGACTGCTGGTGCGCGGTCTCCTTGGAGTGGCCGCCTTCGTCCGCGTACGCCTCTCACCTCACAGCAGCTGCACGAGTGGTACGGTCGCCGTCAGGGTCGCGCTGCTGGGGCTCGGGGCTCTACTGCTGGAGGTACTTCTGCTGACGTCACTGGAGCTGGGAGTGGTGCTGGTTCTTTGCCTGCTGGAGGTGCTGAGCCTGTGCGTGAGGAGACTGGAGGTGCTGTGCCTGGGGGTGCTGCGTCCGGGGGTGCTGAGCCTGAGAGTGCTGAGTCTAGGGTGCGGCGCTTGCGGGTACTGAGAATGCTGGTGCGCGGTCTCCTTGGAATAGCCGCCTTCGTCCGCGTGCGCCTCTCTCCCCGCAGCAGCTGCACGAGTGGTACACTCGCCGTCAGGGTCGCGCTGCTGGAGCTCGGGGCTCTACCGCTGGAGGTGTTTCTGCTGTCGTCGCTGGAGCTGGGAGTGGTGCTGTGTCTACAGGAGGTGCTGGAGTCGCTGGTCCCGGAGGTGCTCGTACTGGAGGTACTGGAGCTGCTGGGGCTGGAGGTGCTGCGTCTGGAGGTGCTGCTACTGGAGACACTGAGGCTGGAGACCCTC